AGAACGCCCAAACTGTAGATCCATTGCTAGCAAAGCCAAACTATCCCCTTGGCAGATCACCATGTAACTGAAGCATGACAAAGCTGCAGTGTTAAACAGATGGCTGCGAAAACATTTTTGAAGCAAAAAACCCTGTTCTGGAGGAGCATGGTTGGCTGCATTGTTTACTTATATTACTGATGTATAATATTGCCTAAAGCCAACTTGTAGCTTGCTATTGTTTCTGAATTAGGATTCAGCACTCTTGTCATCTTCCTTGTCTAACGACAAGTCATAACTGTCTGAAGTTTCTTAAACTGCATATAAATGCAATGCAAATGTGTGAAGTAAATGTGCATGTTGATAACTTGAAACTCTGTTCTCTAGTAATTTGTTGGTCATTCATTCAGTCATTTCTGACTCTTCATGACTTCATGGACCAGTCCACGCCAGAGCTCCCTGTCGGTCATCACCACCTCCAGCTCCTTCAAGGTCAATCCAGTCACTTCAAGGATACCATCCATCTATCTTGCCCTTGGTCGGCCCCTCTTCCTTTTTCCTTCCATTTTCCCCAGCATAATTGTCTTCTCTAAGCTTTCCTTTCTTCTCATGATGTGGCCAAAGTACTTCATCTTGGACTCTACTATTCTTCCCTCCAATGAGCAGTCAGGCTTTATTTCTTGAAGTATGGACTGGTTGGATCTTCTCACTGTCCAAGGCACTCTCGGCACTTTCCTCCAACACCACAGTTCAAAAGCATCTATCTTCCTTCGCTCAGCCTTCCCTCTGGTCCAGCTCTCACATCCATAGGTGACTATGGGGAATACCATTGCTTTGACTCTGCAGATCTTTGTTGTTAATAGATGAGTCTAATTTTCATTTACCACCGGAGTGTAGCCCGCTGTTCTGGGGGAGGTATTGGAATATAAGGCTGAGAATATTTATGGAAGGCAACAACAGATTTCTAGACCATGCATCAGATCATGTCTTGAAAGCAAAGGAAGGCCAACCCTGGCTGGTACTTGGATGGAAGACTGCCAATGAATATCAGGTGCTGTGAGCTATAGTATTCCTTGCCTAAGACAATCACATGAAATTCATGGGGTTGCCATAAGTTGAAATGTACAATCCACATCAAAAGTGTCTAGTGTGCATTAGAACCATTTTCAGAATCCACTAAGAGGACCTTTTGCGCCTTTGTGGCATACCTAAGGATTTATAAAGTTGTGCAATGTAGAATTTGAGCAGGAATTTGAAAACAGGATTTAAGTAAAGGAAGGAAGATTGAACCTATCAATGTGTCTTCACACTTGGTGTACTCCCAATATATTTCACACTCCTCCACAAAGGAGGCTACTTGCATTCTTTTAAAAAACCTTTTTATCTAAATGTAGCCCTTCAGGTATTGGGAACTTGCAACCAAAGAAGGGCTAGACTTCTAACTCCTCCATCCACTCATTTATTTATTTACGATGTTTCTATCCTGCCTTTCTTGAACCCAAAGGTGACTCAAGGTGGCTTACAACCAGGCAATCATTTGATTCCTTAACAATATACACTTAAACCACATTTAAAACAGATTCACAAGAAATTGTAACTTTCCACTGAATGTAGTTACAGCCCTCCATGCGGTTTGCACAATTAGGGTTCTAGATCACATCAACCATTTTAATCCAGTGATTGCTGTGACTTCATTTTAGAGCTTCCGCTTTAACTTGTAACCATTGACATGGATTTTTCGCACAGAGAAGCTAACAACATCTGAATAGGTCAGTATTTGACGTCCCATTTTCTTTGATCTTCTTTACAATGTAGTTTTAGTTCAGAGAATAAAATACTGCCCTGTGGAGTCACTGTTTCCGTTTCCACTTCTTCCGTTCTTGAGTATTTTCCCCTCTGGGCAACCATTTGCCAGCATTTCATGGCTTCTGAACATACTGAGCCCCAATTTTAGGTACTGACATCACTCCTGAGGCTTGTATGTATGCAGAAATGCATTCATTTAAAAAAGTGTATATCGAGCCTCCACTCCAGTGACCTCAAGGCAACATGCAAGTGTTTCTTTTCCCCACATTGATAGGGTCAATTAGTGAATGTTAAAGTTCACTGAGGATGGATCTACACTGCATTATAATCCAGATTATCCAATCGGATAATTTATTTACTATATTTATTTACTATACTTGTATACCGCCTTTCTCAGCCTTAATGGCGACTCATTTTTGGACAACTAATCCACGGCCCCTTCCACACAGCTGAATAAAACCTCACATTAACTGCTTTGAACTGGATTATACGGTAGTGTGGACTCAAGATAACCCAGTTCAAAGCAGATATTGTGGGATTTTCTGCCCTGATTTCCTTTTTTATACAGCTGTATTGATGGGCCCACATTATCTGCTTTGAACTGGATTATACGAGTCTACACTGCTATATAATCCAGCAGAAAAATGAAGACAGGCAAGGGGCAAAGGGAGGTGAACACTGAGCAAGGTAGCAACAGCAGAGAAACAAAAAGAGCAAGGATATTTATTATGTGGTGAAATTATTATTGCAGATGCCTCTCCTAAAACACAATTGAAATAACACTGCGCCGTAATTATGGATTCACCCTTGCTGGATTGCATCTTCCGTTGTGAATGACTGAGGCTGGGGGCTGTTTGTGTGCTGGGAAAGGCATCTAGCGGTAATAATTTGAAACTCCGTTTCCCACCCTTTCAAGAGGCATGAGTTTAATTCATGGGAAGTTTGTGGTTGCAGAGATATAGCCATTTCAATTTGGGTCCATCTTTTTGAAACGCTATGCATTTTGAACTCAATTTTCTGCAACTGAAGTAATCTGAGGACAAAGAGAGAAAATGAGATGGGAGATTGAAACAGACATTTTAAAAGCAGTTGAAGTATTGGAGTGGCAGAAACACAATAGGACTGCTTCTTCCAAACTGGGACAAAGGTATATGGTATGCAGGAAGAAAATAACCTTTTCAGTGGGGAAGGAAAATTGGGAAAGGCTGCAGAAGTTGTTCAGAAATTAAAATGGTGTTCATGGCAGTTGCATCTTTATGCTACTATGGTTGTGTGTGTGTGTGATTTGTTGGAATTTTATGTAAAAGCTCTGTTTCTGCATTTTTAAGTTGTTTGCCAGCCCTGGAGTCCTATGGTGCAAACATATCCTGCTGGCAAAAAAATTATTTAAATAAAGCACTGATTAACATTGAATAATTCTGCCGCCGAAGGTACAGCTGGAGCCTTATCTGTTAAAGGAATGTAGGTCAGCTACACAAATTCATTCTGTGAAGTCAAACAAACCTAATGTTAGATGAATCAAGTAGGCACAGTAGGAGATGGTTGATGTTTCGTGTGGAAGGTTTAGAGGCACTGCTTCGCAGGCAATCTAGACATTTGAGGAGGAAGCTCAAAAGAATGTAAACATGCCAGCAGTGGTTGCCAGATGAAGGTATTAAAAATCAGAGAGGCTTGTTCTGGAGAGCAGGTAGTGAATTTTGTAGCATGCTAGGGAACTCTATGGAGCCCCCAGTGGTGCAGTGGGTTAAAGCGGTAAGTTGCTGAACTTGCTGATGGAAAGGTTGGTGGTTCGAATCTGGGGAGTGGGGTGAGCACCTGCTGTTAGCCGAGCTTCCACCAACCTAGCAGTTCGGAAACATGCAAATGTGAGTAGATCAATAGGTACCGCTTTGGCAGAAAGGTAGTAGCACTCCATGCTGTCATGCTGGCCACATGACCTTGGAGGTGTCTGCGGACAATGCCGGCTCTTCGGCTGAGACATGGAGATGAGCACCACCTCCCAGAGTCAGACATGAGTACACTTAATGTCAGGGGAAACCTCTACCATTAGTGAGCTCTATAGCTTTGGCTTTCAAATATTTTTTCACTAGGAAAAGTATTCTCCTAGCAGTATGTCTCAGAACTCCAATTCATTGCAGATGCTCCTGGTACAAATTTGGCTCCATTTTTGTGGGGTTAAAGAAAGCATTTAGCATTCCTGTTGTTAGATAAGAAATTGCCTTTAAAGCTGGAATGGTGAGTCTTTGGTTTTCCAGATATTGTTGGACCCACCTTCCATCTCCTTCAGTCAGCAGTTATTTTTTTAATGTCTACAATACATTCAAAATATTTTTGAGAACATGCCTGCTGTAATGATGAAAATGTTGAAATATGTATAGAAAACGCACTGTATCCCTTCTATATGTAAAATCATGGACTACTACCCAATTTATTTTCCTTTTAGGCTGGAGCTACACTGCCCTATATCCCAAGATCTGATTCCAGATTATCTGTTTTGAACTGTATTAAATGAGTCTAGACTGCCAGATAGTCAGGGATAAGCAGATAATCTGGGATCAGATTCTGGGATATAGGGCAATGTAGAAGGGGCTTAAGATGACAGCACTATGCACAGGAATTCCAAGGTCTAATATGATCATTCGTCCTTTTATAGCTATGTTTGAAGTTTTTAGACCTCTTAACAGGGGTAGAGTTTTAAGTTGAAACCAAACTAGATTCTAGGGAATGTGCTTGTGTTAAATTTTAAGATGGTGAAACATCAGGCTGAAATGCAGGCGTTAATAAATCATGTGGTGAAAAATGAAGGCTTTGAACAGGAAAATCTGCTTTTGGTGTCACAATTATATAGTTTGTTTAAATTCTGCTCTATCTCCCCAAGGGGATTAGAGTTCTATAGTCTACTCTTTCCAGAATGAGATTGTATTTTCTTGTGCACCAAGAAATTAAGTTGTCTGCATTTATTGATAACCAGAAGCCCTAAATTCTGTTTATGAAACATGCCATGTAATTGAAACAAGAACACATGGTATTACATTGCATTTTCCAGAGATCCTGTCTCACAAAAACAACAAGGTCATGGGCATGTTATTCTTTCTCTGAATTGTTTCCAAACAGGGTCCTTTCTTTAGCAGCCTTACTAGATTCCTGCTGTATTGGTACTTAAGGGCATAAGGTGTCCCAGCTTCATAACTCTTTCTCTTTTTAATGTCTGGCAGGGATTGGGAAGAATGTCATCTGTGACAGGACCGCTACTCCATTGGACGCCTTTAGGATGATGTCTGCCGCCCACTATTATCCTAAGCTCATGAGCATTATGGGTAACGTTCTTCGCTTCCTGCCTGCCTTTGTGAAGATGAAGCAGCTGATCCAAGAGGGCTACGTTGGAGAGCTGCTGGTGTGTGAGGTACAGGTCCACAGTGGGAGCCTGCTGGGGAAGAAGTACAACTGGAGCTGCGATGACTTGATGGGCGGCGGAGGTTTGCACTCGGTTGGCACCTACATCATTGATCTTTTGACCTTCCTAACTGGCCAGAAGGCTGTCAAAGTACATGGGCTGCTAAAGACCTTTGTGAAACAGACGGACCACATCAAGGGAATCCGCCAAATCACGAGCGATGACTTTTGTACTTTTCAAATGGTCCTGGAAGGAGGAGTGTGTTGCACTGTTACGCTCAACTTCAACGTGCCTGGGGAATTTAAACAGGATATCGTTGTGGTGGGTTCCAGCGGGCGGCTGATTGTGGTAGGAACTGATTTATATGGGCAGAGCAATAACTCACAACAGAAGGAGCTTCTTTTGAAGGACTCCACGCCAGTCAGCAATGCCTTGTTACCAGAAAAGGCCTTCAGTGACATCCCGTCCCCTTACCTACGGGGGACAATAAAGATGGTGCAGGCCGTCAGGGAGGCGTTTGAAGATCAGGATGACCGGCGAACGTGGGACGGGCGGCCACTCACAATGGCTGCCACTTTTGATGACTGTCTTTATGCTTTGTGCGTGGTGGACACTATTAAGAAATCAAACCAACTGGGTGAATGGCAGAACATTGTAATTATGACTGAAGAACCAGAACTAAGCCCTGCCTACTTGATCAGCGAAGCAATGCGCAGAAGCAGAATGTCTCTGTACTGTTAGCTTTTTATTGCTAGTATTATTATTATTATTTTGTCAAATCTTGGTAAATAGGAATAAGGCAAAGCAGAAAATATGTCTTGCTTGTCAAACAGGTATTGGACAAGAAAGAGGAAATATGGAGAGGCAGTTTCTGCTGTTTAAATCCTCCCATTGCCTAATTGGTGCTGAAATAGTAAATGCATTTGAAATGCCTGTAAAAATAATCCCTGACAAGCTGTTTACAAAATAGCATTATAGGAAAGTAAAACGTAACATACCTGAAAGCTGCATGTGCACATCTGATTCACTTGCACTTAAAGTGAAAACAAAAAATTATTCAGGGAAGTCTAAATAGTAGTCTCAGTGTGTGTTTCCTAAAGACAAGAGGAAGGTGATGGAGTTGTGTTAGTGGAGCCCACAATATTACTTGCATGGATCCTCAGATGTGAAAAAGCACATGAAATTTTAAAAGATAACTGAGAACCTAAAATAAAGTTTTTCTCTGTTTTGTCAGAAGAATTAATCCATGACAGTACAAGAGGAATGGCAAAATTCATGTTCCTTTCTCTCTGCCAGAGAGTTGTGATCCATAAAGCTGATATCATTTTGCTTGCAACAAAAGTTTAATTGCTTCCTTAAACAAAAAGGCAACTGTGTCTAAATAGGCACTAGAAAGGGGGCACAGCTATTAGCAGCCTGCATGAAACTTGTGCCCACAGATGTATTGGAGGACAGCTCCCATCAATCCTGCCAGTTGTCTTCTGTTGGGGTACTAAGAGTTGCATTACAATACAACTGGAGGGTGATCGGTTGGGGAAGCTTGGCCTAGGCCAGATATGAGCAACCACGGAGGGCCAGGGTCCTATTTTTCTGCCCTTAGAATTGCTGGAGACTACTGTATGTGTACAGCCCAAAATTAAAACTGAAGCAGTCAGAAGTTTTTTATGGACAGTGGAAAGAATACAGCCTATTTAATAGGTAGCTACTTCTACAAGCCATTTAAATCAAGCAAAATCCCTTTTAAAAATTGTGTTTTTTTCAGTTGCCACTGAAATCTATTTTGTTTTGAAATTACAAAATCACTGTTACCTTCATATTACCCACCCCTGCCTAAAGCATTAATAACACCATTTTCAGAATTCCTTAGGTCAGGCATGGACTGACTGCTTGTTAGGAATTGTGGAGTTGAAGTTCAAAACACCTGGAGGGCTGAAGTTTGCCCAGGCCTGCCTTAGGTGCAAGAACAATAAAAACTAAAGAGACATGCTTTCAATCCCTGTTTTGTTTGGTATCAGCCATTGTTAATCTGTCCTGGGTGTTTAAAAATGTTAAACTATGGTCTAAGATTAAAGAGAGGCAAGGAAGCTCATAAACGGCCAGGCAGTACTTTGCTGATGAAGCTTGAACAGCACTTTGAGTGTAATAGAAACATTACTTTACTTCCAGGAATTTGTTTTAATCCTGACTGCATAGTGAGATGGATATATTTAGAATCTGCTAAATTCCTGCTGCACCCCTATTCAACAGCACACTAGCTAATAGCTTTTAAACAGAAGCTGGATGGCCATCTGTCAGGGGTGATTTGAATGCAATATTCCTGCTTCTTGGCAGGGGGTTGGACTGGATGACCCATGAGGCCTCTTCCAACTCTATGATTCTATAATTCTAGTGTGCAGCCATAAGTTTTTAAAAAATGCAAAACAATTGAATGAAAGTTAATCTTGCCTCCTGGCTTAATCATCGCAGGATTGAATTTCTTTAGGAAGGCACTGGGGGCCAGTAGAACTTTTATGATGTATTGATAAAGGCTTTCATGGCTGGAATCACTGGGTTGCTGTGAGTTTTCCAGGCTGTATGGCTATGTTCCAGAAGCATTCTCTTGACGTTTCACCCACATCTATGACCTCACAACCCCTAAGGATGCCTGCCATAGATGTGGGTGAAACATCAGAAGAAAATGCTTCTGGAACATGGCCATACAGCCTGGAAAACTCACAGCAATCCAGAGCAATTTTGGACATACAGTATTCTCTTTTGAACTAAAGCTCCCACTGGCCCTATGGCTGGGAGATTCAGGCTGCTGTTATCTATAAAACTAACGTTTCTAATATCTGTCAGACTATACCTATGAATCACAGAAAGTTGTGGTTTTTTTTTTACAGCTAATGCTTAGTGGTTGTGACATGCAAGTGGAATGCTGGCTTTATTTTGCACTTTTATGAACTTTACCTAAAAGACTTAAATAAAGAAATATCTTGGCTTATTCAAGATAAATAGCATCTAGCATCAACTAAACCTTTTCCCAAATTATGCAATACACTATTTCATTTTATTTAGGTAAAGACATAAATTGTCTTTCATCCCCCCACTCCCCAAAAAAAGCCACAACCCTATTGGTGGCCAGCAAGAAGGAGACATGCAAAATCAAAATGCTGTAAATAATAAAAACCATCAGTAGCAGAAAAAATTACAAAAAAACTGCCAATTATAATTGGTCAGATGATACGCTGGAATGTTGGGGCAAATTAGAGCCCAAACAACTTCAAAGACCTGTGCTCAAGATGTGAGCTACATTCTTGAGCTGACATGGACACTTGCACTGAAAAGAAATCTAATGGTAGACAATAGGATCTATTTCAGGCATGGGGAAACTTCGGCCCTCCAGGGGTTTTGGACTTCAACTGCCACAATTCCTAACAGCCTACAGGCCTACAGGCTGTTAGGAATTGTGGGAGTTGAAGTCCAAAACACCTGGAGGGCTGAAGCTTGCCCACACCTGGTCTGTTTCCTATTAGTATGTACTTGAATGTAAGTTTCTGCTCCGTTTTGAGCTCTCTGCAGGTAGTTAAACATTATCTCTTTCCTTCCTTCCACCTTTGCAAGGTCTCCTTTGGAGCAGTGCCTTGAGCACCCGTACAGTCTCTACTGCAGTGGGCCCTCTACTTCTGAGGTTAGGGGCACAGGACCCCTTTGAAAGTGCAGGAAACACAATTTTTTAAAAATGTTATTTTTTAACTTGAGAAAATATCTCCATAGGAATCTCTTGGTTCTCCAGTGCAACTCTGTGGTCAGCTTCGGCCAGGCATTGGTTGTAGAATTGCACTGAAAGGACCCAGAGATTCCAACAGAAGATATGAATTAAATCTATGAATAATCAAATCTGCAAAAAGTGAAGCCTGCAGATGTGGAAGGCCAACTGTATTCTTCCTCTCCTCTCTCTGTCCCACTACCTTGTCCAATATGATGGATGAGTATGGGACTAGGAAAAAACTGGGTAAAGTAGCAACGCTCATGCTAAAATTGCCTTTGCTATTCTTTCCCTCTGATCCGGGGATGCTTGTGCACAATGGGATACACCTTCTGAAGGCAGCCCTTATTGTTAAGCAGGCTTGAGATAGATGTCTTAATTAAGCAGGTGCTGCGAGATGCAAAGCTGTGATGAAGGTAATGGGCTTGGTATCCCATCAGCGTGACAGATCTGAAAGTGGGAGCAAATTCAGAAATGGAAATGATGATGTACAGCTTAAATTCATTCTGGACATTGTGGATACTGATCAAAGGTTCTCCAGTTTGTGTATGTATGTGTTTTTCATGTCAGAAGCTACTTGAGAAACTGCAAGTTGCTTCTGGTGTGAGACAATTGGCTGTCTGCAAGGCCATGGCTCAGGGGACGCCCATATGTTTTGATGTTTTACCATCCTTGTGGGAGGCTTCTCTCATGTCCCCGCATGGGGAGCTGGAGCTAACCACCATTTCTTAAAAAGCACTTGAGGAAAGAATGAGATGTTTACTGTATGAATTTATAGATCTTTCAAATAGGAAACAAAACTCCAGTCAAGCCTGCTGGGATCATACTCTTATTTCAGTCCATCCTGGACAAGTCTAGCCAGGTCTATTTACTTTTCTGCCTCTCTGTTATGCTCCCCAGCAATGATAGTACTGTAAAAAGAGTTTAAAAAAAGATGGTACCTAGTTCTGTAAACTATTTTAGGTATAGAATTAGCACACCATGGTTGACTGAAGTGCTTGGCTATCTCTGAGTCTTGAATGATGCCTTTTTTCCCTTTCGGTCTTCAAAAATCCAAGTGTACATTTACTGCTGTATTTAAATATATCTATTTATTGTGTTTTGCAAGGATATATATGTGTGTATATAATATATATATATAGACAGAAATACAAGAAGCAAACTATATCTCTAAAATGTCAGTGCATGGGCATTTTGTGTACAGTAGATATTTTAAAAAAGTTATTTATCAAACAAAAGTGTGATTAAAAACAGAGTCTATATTTTATATATCTATATCCTGTAGATAACAAGACGCATTGACCTTTAAATTATAGCAAGAGGAAACGTGCAGATTTTAAATAGAAACGGGCATGTGTTGTGGTTATCTCTAGCACTTTGGCAGGCTGGTTATTTTTTCGTGGAAAGCTGCCTTTGGTGGTTTTCAGTTGCAGCAAATCCACCTGTCCTTCTGTTTCTTGAAAGGTTCATGTTCGCGTGTTACTTTTTCAACTGCTTGGGGAATGTAATTAGCTACAGGCAGCTATAAGAATAGATGTGCTACTTCGGATATGGTTTTCTCCTGTTCTTCTATATCTGCATTGTTGGACTAAATAGAATATAAATGGCAAATAAAGACATCAAAGGATTCTGGCAGTTAGCCATTTCTTGTTTGTGTTTATTTTGTACAGTTTTTTTCTGCCATTTGTTTTGATTGCTTGACTCAAAGAACCCGAAAGAAATCTAAAAAATTACTGCTTATCAAAGTTGGAAGACAATTTCTAAACAAAATATTGTTCAGTTGCTTCAAGTGGAAAAATGGGTGAAATATAAAGATGGCCATATTAAGGTAGTAGCTTAATTCATTACACTTTTTCCTCAGCACTTCAATAGCTTATAGCAGGCATGGGCAAACTTCGGTCTTCCTGGTGTTTTTACCTTCAACTCCCACAATTCTGAATTGTGGGAGTTGAAGTCTAAAACACCTGGAGGCCCCAAGTTTGCCCATGCCTTGTTTATAGTCTATAGCAGGGGTCCTCAAACTAAGGCCCATGGGCCGGATACGGTCCTCCAAGGTCATATGCCCGGCCCTCGCTCAGAGTTAATCTAAGTCTGAAACAACTTGAAAGCACAACAACAACAACAACAACAACAACCCTATCTCATCAGTCAAAAGTAGGCCCGCACTTCCCATTGAAATACTAATAAGTTTATATTTGATAAAATTGTTCTTAATTTTAATTATTCTAAAGTGTTTTTGCACTACAAATAAGATATGTGCAGTGTGCATATGAATTCATTCATGTTTTATTCAAATTATAATCTGGCCCTCCCAACAGTTTGAGGGACCGTGACCTGGCCCTCTGTTTAAAAAGTTTGAGGATCCCCTGGTTTAGACTATAATTTGAGCCTCCTCCATATACTCAGTGCAGGATTAAGTGCCCTACTTTTTAAAAAAATGTATAACAAAATCCCATGATATGGGTACCTAGGCAGCTCTTGCATTCTCTGAATAGTTCAGAGACTAAGGATTGCGGTTTTAAATTGTATTTCCTTATGATTTCATTTGTCCCATCTCAGTAAAAAAAACAAGCAGGGAGAAATAGAAAGATAAAGGGTTAAGATATTGTTCATATTATCAAATGTGCAGAGAATTACGGGAAACAAAGCTGGGGAGATGAAACCAAACCTGACAAGCTGCCTTGTGAAAAAAGGCAGACTATAAAATGATTGATCAATTGAATATTTCTGCAAAAATATATCTGTTTCTGTGGTACACATATTTCTGCTGCAGATTAAGATTTGGCAAATGAATTACATAGTGATTTGTGTACTGTATTATGGAGAGTAGGGTTCGAATCCCCAATCAGACATGGGACCATTTTCACACAGCCCTATATCTCAGAATATCAAGACAGAAAATCCCACATTATCTGAGTGTGGGCTCAAATAACCCAATTCAAAGCAGATATTGTGGGATTTTCTGTCTTGATATTCTGGAAAACAGGACTGTGTGGAAAGGCCCCTGGGAATCTCTTCCACACAGCCATATAACCCAGAATATCAAGGCAAAATAACCCACAATATCTGTTTTGAACTGGAATATCTGAGTCCACGCTATATATCCCAGTTCAAAGCAGATATTATGGGATTTTATTCATCTGTGTGGAAGGGGCCCCAATGCCATATAATCCAGATTATTAAAGACAATAATTCACATTATCTGCTTTGAAGTGGATTATATGAGTCTACACTACCATGTAATCCAGTTCAAATGAGATAATCTGGATTTTAATCTGGGTGGCCTTGGGCAAGTTACAGACTGAGAAAAAGGCAAAGGTAAACTATCTCTGAACAAATCTTGCCGAGAAAACCCTGTGCTAGTTTTGTCTTAGGGTCACCATAAATTGCAAATAACATAAAGGGTCAAAACAAGGAGCCTGAACTAACTCTTGGACTACCTGCTCTTTTGAGCAATTTGGGTGAAACAGGACTGAGAAAAGAAGTGTCATTTGGTGCACAAGAAACCACCGAAAGACTGCTTTGGAAAATGAAAAGTGAAGTCTTGGCCCCTCTTTTGTTTACTACTTTATCAAAGGAGTGCTTGATATGGAGGAGCTGGCCAGGGTTGAATGTTATGTCTGCCAAAACTGCAGTCAGTGGAATGAACTCAGATGAAGTGTGGTCAAGTCAAAGACGAGGACAGTTGTCTATCCTTACTGGGTAAACTGGAGACAGATGATGGGAGCTGCCACTTTAGAGACTTGGGGAGCTCAGCTGGTGCTTACACCATCATTGTCCAACTCAAATTACATACTATCCTCCCATTCAATTGTTCCATGTTTGAAGGCAAACCTATGCTTTTTTAATGTCAGGAGCGATTCATTCTGGACATTGTGGCTACTGATCAAAGGTTCTCCAGTTTGTGTATGTATGTGTTTTTCATGTCAGAAGCTACTTGAGAAACTGCAAGCCGCTTCTGGTGTGAGAGAATTGGCTGTCTGCAAGGATGTGGCCCAGGGGATGCCCAGATGTTTTACCATCCTGTGGGAGGTGTCTTTCATGTCTCTGCATGAGAAGCTAGAGCTGACAGATGGGAGCTCGCCCCACTCCCCAGATTCAAACCACCGACCTTTCGGTCAGCAGTCCTGCCAGCACATTGCGCCATCGGGGCTCCTATTTATGCTTATGGACTCCCAGGATTCAGTACTCTAACTGCAATAGCTCCATGCATGCCAAAACTCACTACTTACACTCTGTAACAAAATTTGAAAAAAAAAAAATCTGCCCTGGTTTGAAAGTGTTATTTCATGTTTAATTGTGTGAATCTTAATTTTAAAGTAGTTTTTAAACTCCAGAAACATTGTTTTTGTGGCTGAATTGGTTGAGACTCTGAAAATACTCATTGAAAAACTATAGCAAAATGTGCTACAGAATGTCCTGCAAAAACAATTTTTTGCAGTTTAATAAACTTTTCCCTTGTTTTTATGACAGAACCAATTAGGAAATGACACTTACAACCCAGGAACAAATATTGTGTAACATAGGGCCCTTCCACACAGCCCTATATCCAAAAATATCAAGGCAGAAAATCCCACAATATTTGCTTTGAACTGAGTTATCTGCATCTACACTGACATATATTCCAGTTCAAAGCAGATATTATGGGGTTTTATTCAGCTGTGTGGAAGGGGCCATAGTATTATTTGTAATAAGGTACCACTATTTTTTTTAAAATATATCTCTTCTCCTTCCATCTCTGCATTGAACTACAACTACCAGCCTTCCTCACGGATTGAGGCTTCTGTGAAGTGCAATTCAACATCTGGAAGGCCACAAACTCTTCATCATGAAATAAAGGCTTGTGCCTTAAAGATAGTGTAAATGTAATATTAGTTTCCTCCTGATATATGCACACAGCACTCGAAACACTTATTTTTCTATTTGTATGCAAGATACAGTAATCTTTTAGTTATGTAAGGGTTAAGAAATTAATTGTACATGAAGGATGAATTTCTCCTAGAGAACAATAACTTTATCAGACTGTGGGGAATGTGCCAATATCCTCTTTCTACATAGGAAGGGGTGTGTTGTCGTCTTGGAAAAAGTTTCCAGACAGGATGAATGGAATTAAAATGGAATTAAACCCAGTTGCCTAATTATGTGCTGATTAGCAGGAGAACGCTGGCGATTCAGAAACGATTGCATGTGACACAGCTGAACTTTCATTACACTATTTGTCATATATCCGATGACACATTTAGCATACAATTCAATACACACTGCCACAAACTAAACATGCAGTGAAGTATGTGGTTATAAAATTATAACCAAAGGGTCTGTGTAGACAGAGTTTGTGGTAACAAAATACAATTATGCCCCAACCTTAACGAAGGATCTGAGTTTTTCACAGGTATAATTTTGGGCAGGAAATAAGAGTATACAACTGTCACAAAATTATATAGACTTTTAAAAAAGATTGTGTCAGAAGCAAGTTGAGAAACTGCAAGTTGCTTCTGGTGTGAGAGAATTGGCCATCTGCAGAGACGTTGTCCAGGGGGTACCCAGATATGTTAACATCATGTGGGAAGCTTCTCTCATGTCCCCATGTGGGAAGCTGGAGCTGACAGACAGGAGCTCATCCCGACTTTCAGAACAGCAGTTCAGCAAGCTCAGGGGTTTAACCCACTGTGGTTTCTCACATCACATATAGACTGCTGAAGAATATTAAAAAGAGCCACAAGCAAGCATGGTGTGAGAGCAGCAACACATGATACACTAAAATCACGATCTGTCAACTGCAAAAGGCCACCTTACTTGGATCTGCGTGCATCATTCGAAAATACATCACACAGTCCTAGACACTTGGGAAGTGTAATTTTGTGATATGAAATCCAGCATATATATCTTGTTTGCTGTGACATACTGTGTTTTGTGTCAGTAAAATAATAATAATAATAATAACAACAATAATGATTTACAAATGGGCGTTTGCCATAAACTGCTCCTCACAGAACCCTGGTACATATAATGCTACTCTCTTGCATTGTTTTACCTTTTCAGGTTCACTGTTGGGTGAGGACTCTACAACACTTCATTTTGTTTTTCTTCTCTGATATACACATTCAATTGCAGGCCATATCTACACTGTATCATGAATGCAGTTTGGTGAGGCATCAGCACTCCCTGGCAGAGAAGGCTAAAGATCTTAGTAATACTATAACTCCTATTATTACATCATATTGAGCCATGGCAGGTGTCAAACTGCATTCATTCTACACTGTTGATGCACCCTATGAGGATTTTTCAGACTTTATGAAAACAAGGATGTTTTTAAATACAAGTTTGGGAGTAAACACTGAGTTCTACTACGTCATCCTGCTCCATCTCAGATTGAAGCATTCCTGTCTGATATGCACAAGCTCTTAGGCAACCCTTGGCATCCCAGCCTATGAATTACACATCCATAAAACATAAAAAGAATTTATTTTCAAGGTTGGAGCTTAAAACATTGGTACAGAGACTACTGCCATCTGTTGTCAAGACTGTTCCTAAACAGGTGAGCTTAAGGAAGAAAAGCTGATCAAAATCTGCCATCTACTGTCTCAGAAGAGGAGTACTTGTAATACAACCAAAGGAAAGACAAATATATGTATTTGAATGTCTCTGTGCCTTCTAGTTTTTATCATCGTGTCAGAAGCAACTTGAGAAACTGCAAGTCACTTCGGGTGTGAAAGAATTGGCCGTCTGCAAGGATGTTGCCCTGGGTATGCCCAGATGTTTTACCATCCTGTAGGAGCCTTCTCTCATGTCCCCGAATGGAAAGCTGAAGCTGACGGACGGGAGCTCACCCTGTCTCGTGGATTCAAACCACTTTTAGGTCAGCGGTTCAGCCGGCACAAGGGTTTAACCCTTGTGCCACCGTGGCTCATAGTTGCCTTCTAGTTGCTAGTTGATTTAAGCCAACCTCATTAATTTTGTAGGGTTTCCTGTTGCCCAATAGGCAGCTGGCTTTTTAACAAGGAAATAATCAATTTGAGCCTATCATAGGGTGCATCTATGCTGTAGACTGAATGCAGTTTGACCGCACTTTAACTCTTACAACTACATGCTATGGAGTCATGGGAGCTGTGGTTTTCTCAAGTCCATAACCTTTCTCTGATTAAAAAAAATGCTGGTATCTCACCAAACTGCAACTCCGAGGACTTCTTTGCATTGAGCCATGGCAGTTAAAGGGGTGTTAAACTGCATTAATTCCACAGTGTAGATGCACCCTAGGATACACTATTCCAGAGCTTTCCAAAATGTGTTGCAACACGTTAAGTGTGCCAGCTGCTGTGTGTAAATAGAGAATGTAAATAGAAATCTCTGAGTCTATGTGAAATAAACAATAAATAATATATTAAGCTGGAATGTGTGCAGAGGAGGGCGATTAAAATGATCAAAGGTCTGGAGACCATGAATCCCTATGAGGAGCGGCTTAAAGGGCTGGGCATGTTTAGCCTGCAAAAGGGAAAGTTGAGAGGAGACATGATTGCCATGCACTGTATAAATATGTGAAATGATGTAATACAGAAGAGGGAACAGGCTTGTTTTCTGCAGCCCTGGAAACTAGGACTGGGAGCAATGGGTTGAAATTACAGGAAAGAAATTCCACCTGAACATTAGGAAGAACTTCCTGATCGTATGAGCTATTCAACAGTGGAACTCTCTGCCTCTGAGTGTAGTGGAAGCTCCTTCCTTGGAGGCTTTTCAACAGAGGCTGGATGGCCATCTGCCAGGAGTGTTTTGACTGTGCGTTTCCTACATGGCAGGAGGTTGGACTAGATGGCCCCATGTCTCTTCCAACTCCATTCTTTTACTATTCTCCCGCTTCTTTCTTATTTCTTCTTCCTTTCTTCTTCCTACCCCTCCTTTGTTCCTTCTTTTACTCCCGCTCCTTTCCGCTTCTTTCATTCTTTCTCCTGCTCTTTGATTCTTCCTTTGTCCTTTCTTTTCTTCCTCCTTTGCTTTCTCCCTCCTCTTTTCCCTTCCTTCCTCTTTCTCCTGCTCCTTTCTTCCTTCCTCTCTTTCTCCTTTCTCCCTACTTTCCTTCCTCTTCCTCCTGCTCCTTTCTTCTTCCTCTTTTCTTCATCATGCTTTCTCCCTCTTCCTCTCCTTCCTTTTCCTCTCCTTTCTCCCTACTTTCCTTCTTCCTCCTGCTCATTCTTTTCCGCCTTTTTCCTTTCCTTTTTCCCTACTTTCCTTCCTCTTCCTCCTGCTCCTTCCTTCTTTCCTCTTCCTCTTTTTCCCTACTTTCCTTGCTCTTCCTCCTGCTCCTTTCTTCTTCCTCTTTTCTRCATCATGCTTTCTCCCTCTTCCTCCTCCTCCTTCCTTTTCCTCTCCTTTCTCCCTACTTTCCTTSCTCTTCCTCCTGCTCATTCCTTTCTGCCTTTTCCTCTCCTTTCTCCCTACTTTCCTTGCTCTTCCTCCTGCTCCTTTCTTCTTCCTCTTTTCTCCATCATGCTTTCTCCCTCTTCCTCCTGCTCCTTCCTTCTTTCCTCTTCTTCTCCTTTCTCCCTACTTTCCTTCTTCCTACTGCTCATTCCTTTTTGCCTTTTCCTCTCCTTTCTCCCTACTTTCCTTCCTCTTCCTCCTGCTCCTTCCTTCTTTCCCCTTCCTCTTCTTTTTCCCTACTTTCCTTCCTCTTCCTCCTGCTCCTTTCTTTTTTTCTTCCTATCCCTTTCCTTTCTCCCTACTTTCCTTCCTCCTTCCTTTCTTTTCCTCCTCTCCTTCTCCTTCCTCCGCTTTCTCCCTCTTCCTCTTTCTCCTCCTCCTTCCTCCTGAGCTGGGCGGGTCTGCGCCTGCGCGCCTCTTGCTGACGGGAGGAGCCTTCTCAGTCGCTTGGCCTTCGCGGGGCTGCGGCCTCCGCCTCCAGGGTAACCGGGCGGGGCGGGGAGGAGAGGGGGGGGTCCTTGGATCCGGGAAGGAAGGGAGGGGGGAGGAGACCCCCTGGCTGCCCCTCCTCCGCATAACAGCGCCTCCTCTTGCCCTCTCTCCCATTTCTCTCCCAGGGGGCATCTCCACTATAGGAGATTTGTGGTATTTGATCCCTCTTGGACTGCCCTGGCTCAGTGCTGTGGGGTGCTGGGAGCTGTACTTTGCCAAGGTCTCTGGCCTTCTCTGCCAAGGAGGGTTGGGACCTCACCAACCCTCCTAAAATGATCAAGGGTCTGGAGAACAAGCCCTATGAGGAGCGGCTTGAAGAGCTGGGTATGTTTAGCCTGAAGAAGAGAAGACTGAGAGGAGACATGATAGCCATGTTTTTGACTTCTTTTATTGTATCGTGTCGTAGGGTTTGGCCTCATGTAAGCCGCCCCGAGTCCCCATCAAGGAGATGGTGGCGCGGTATAAATAAAGATTATTATTATTATTATTATTATTATTATTATTATTATTATTATTATTATTATTATATGTGAGGGGAAGTCATAGGGAGGAGGGAGCAAGCTTGTTTTCTGCTCCCCTGGAGACTAGGACGCGGAACAATGGCTTCAAACTACCAGAAAGGAGATTCCATCTGAACATGAGGAAGAGAATGCCGTTCAGCAGTGGAACTCTCTGCCTCGGAGTGTGGTGGAGGCTCCTTCTATGGAGACTTTTAACCAGAGGCTGGGTGGCCATCTGTCGGGGGTGCTTTGAATGCCATTTTCCTGCTTCTTGGCAGGGGGTTGAACTGGATGGCCCATGAGGTCTCTTCCAACTCTCTGATTCTATGATTCACCGAATCTCGGGATCCTATAGTATCCAGCCAGGGCAGTTCAAGTGGGTCCATTCTGTAGTGGAGATGCCCCTTAATTCGGGAGTCATTGGCCAAGTTGACTTGGGTCCCTTCCACACAGCTGAATAAAATCCCACATTTTCTGCTTTGCACTGGAATATATGGCACTGTGGGCCCAGATAACCGAGTTCAAAGCAGATAATGTGGGATTTTCTGCCTTGATATTCTGGGTTATATGGCTGTGTGGAAGGGCCCCCACTTTCCCTCCTTTGTCTGCAGTTGACTTCACTTGGTACAAATTGAGGTGGTAGTTATTCTGTGCAGATGTTGTTTCCAGATTACGGTGACCCTCTGGTGAACTTACCTTGGGGTTTTCAGGCAAGCATTGTTCATACATGTTAATGCTAATAAAGGTATTAATGCAATATAAGTTTGGGTTTTCTTCCCCTCACAATCAACATAGATGCCCCTGGTATTTGTAAAGCAGGAGGGCTGTTTGTTCACGTAGCCTCAAACTGAATTAGCCACATGTAGAAGATGGAGCCACGTTTTTTTCTTTTTCTATGTCAGGAGCAACTTGAGAAACTGCAAGTCGCTTCTGGGGTGAGAGAATTAGCCGTCTGCAAGGACATTGCCCAGGGGACGCCTGGATGTTTTGATGTTTTACCATCCTTGTGGGAGGCTTCTCTCATGTGGAGTTGGAGCTGACAGAGGGAGCTCATTCGTGCTCTCCCTAGATTCGAACCTCTGACCTGTCGGTCTTCAGTCCTGCCAGCACAAGGGTTTAACCCACTGTGCCACCAGGAGCCACAGTGGCACAATGGGTTAAACCTTTGTGCTGCTGAGCTGCTGACTGGAAGTTTGGCTGAACTGCTGACCTGAAGGTTAGCAGTTCAAATCCGTGAGATTGCGGGAGTTCCCATCTGCTCCAGCTCCTGCCAACCTAGCAGTTTTAAAACATGCAAATGTGAGTAGATCAATAGGTACCGCTTCGGCGGTAAAAGGCAAAGAGACTCTCTAAGCAATCTTGCCGGCCACACAATCAGGAGGTGATAACATAGGCTCCTAAGCTTGAAAATTGAGAAAAAAATCACTTCCCTAGAGCCAGAGATGAGCACCACCTCCAGAAGTCGGAAATGAAAGGAGAAGCCTCTGCCTTTGTCTCATTGTATATGATTGAAAAGACATCAAATGTTTGCCTATGTATGTAAATGCTGTAATCTGCACTGTGTCCCCTAGGGGAGAAGGGCAGAATATAAATAAAGTGTATTATTATTATTATTATTATTATTATTATTATTATTATTATATCAGACTATATGGAGCTGCGATCCTATGTTTTACAAAGTACAAATTATTCCAGGGGAAACATACTTAAGGCCAGCGGGAATTCCCAAGGTAGCTCTGTGTTTTCGGTAAACGCTGATTTGTGTGTGTGTGTGTATGAATGATGGAGTGATGAAGAAGGCAGGATGGAAACAGTAAACAACAGCACACCATGTGACAGCATCTTCTTGTAGGATCCACATGGATACACAGTTCACAATCATCCAGATGTAATTGGTTTCACTTTTGTGGGTTTGATTATTATATACTTTCTAGAAATTTCTAGACCCTTCAATGTGACTCTATGATCCTCTTCTCTAAACATTTCTAGGTCCTCCAGTGTGATTCTGTGATAATCCTCTGGCAGAAAATGACCATAGAGTTCCACTGGAGGCCCTAGATAGATGTTCTCTCAGATTAAAAAATAGTGATGTTTTTATTCATGTTGCAGGGGTTCTGTTCCCTTAATCCCAGCAAACATGGAGGACTGACTGTACAATACTAATTTATTATTTATTTATTTACAGTATTAATATTCTACCCTTCTCACCCAAAAGGGTGCTCAGATTGGATCACAGAACACATATATGGCAAACATTCATTTCTATTATACACTGACAAGACAGACAACTGTACATAGATAAAGGTATGCATAGGCTTTCCCATCTTAGGCATCTTGGAGGTTGTGCTCGGTTCCGGCCATGGGGAGCGGGGGGTGGTTTGTTGTCATTCCACTTTCCCTGCCGAAGAGCTTTGTTTGTAAACTTCCTTCTTTGATCAAAGCTCCGGCATTTTTCTGGCATTTCCTTATGAGCGCCTTAAATACCTCCACACTTAAGTGGTACCTATTTATCTACTCACATTGCTGTTTTCGAAACTGCTAGGTAGGCAGAAGCTGGGCTAAAGGCCAGGAGCACACCCTGACCCAGACTTTGAACTATCAGCCCTTCGATTGGCAAGATTTACTGCAGCTGGTGTTTAAATTGAGTCTTGAGTCGCCTTCGGGCTTGAGAAAGGTGGGATAGAAATATCGTAAATAAATAATAAATAACTTGCAGTGCTAAAGCCCGGTCCTATAATAGCAATATACATCAATATGTAATAAAAGTTTTGTGCTTGTGTTATAAATGTTATTTCATAATTGGTTATATTATTAAAAACATGGAAGAAGTTGATTAAACTGAAAAAAACTTTGTTTTTGTGGGACATTCTGTAGCACATTTTGCTATAGTTTTTCAATGAATATGTCATTGAGTCTCAACTAATTCAACATAGTTTGTGGCAGCCACAAAAATGAAGTTTCTGGAGTATAACAACTACTTTCCAAGTAAGTACCACACAGTTAAATTGGAAATAATACTTTAAAATCAGGAACAGGTTTTTTTTTTCAAATTTTGTTACATAATGTAAATTAGTTTTCTGAATTCACTTCCTATGAAGTTAAAGTGGCACAATTGAAGCACAACATGGAAATAATAGTATTTAACAACATGCCATGTTGGTTTTTAAAATTCTCCTTTCCTTTCAGAATGAAACATGGCTGAGGACCCGCAGAGAAATTTCCGATCAGTATATTATGAGAAAGTAGGATTTCGTGGTGTTGAAGAAAAGAAGTCATTGGAAATCCTTCTGAAAGATGATCGGTTGGGTATGTCTGGTAGAATGCGAGATAAAGTCACCATCTGATTTTATTAACAGTCATGTACTCTTAAGTTTGCAATTGTAGTACATTCAGGGTGCATCTGCACGATAGAATTAATGCACTTTGACAACACTATAACTGTTATGGCTCAATGCTGTGAAATCTTAGAAGTGGTCATTTGGTGAGCTGTGGATGAGGGTTTCAGTAGCTGTGGTTAACTTAATTTTTTTCTACTAAACTATTTTAAGACTATTTAAGTTTGAATTATTATACATATTTTAATTGTATTTTAATACTTGTAACATATTATTATGAAATTACTATTTTATATAATAATAATAATAATAATAATAATAATAACGACTCTGGCACAAGCCAGTCAAGTTGGTCCTAGTGGTGATTGGCACACTGGGTGCAATGCCTAAAGACTTTGACCTGCACTTAAAAACAATTGCCACTGACCTGTGAGCTGCATAAGGCTACCCTACTCAGATCTGCCCACAGCATTAACTGAAACATCACACAGACCTAGACACTTAGGAAGTGTCTGACTTGTGATCAAATACAAAAAGCCAGCATAGTGATCTGGGTACAAATTAAATTAATTCAAATTTGTACAAAACATTTTGTGCCTCCCCACTTTGCCATATGCAGAAAATGTAATTAAAGTATATGAACTTGCTCTCTTCTGGAAAAGTGGAAACAATTGCAGGAAACAATTATGCTGAAGTTGCCTCTTAAAACTTTAACTAAACAATAGTGTTCTGTATGTATGTTCATGGGTTGCAGTGAGGGAAGGGGGAGGGGAAGGGGAAGGAAAGGGCTTGTAGGGTCTGAAAGAAGGGAAGGGTGTGAAAAGAAAAAAGAAAAGAAAAAAGGAAAAAGTTACACTTCCATTCTTATTTATAATGATTGTATGAAAAAAATAGCTTTATAGCATCTTTTTACTTCTTAAATGTTCAGCGTTGGTAGTTCTCCCTTCTTCTCATTTGTAGTTTGTAGTTTAGACTTTTGTCTGTGACTTAGAATATATATTTTACTTAATGGTCAGAGTGGGAAAAAAACACAGCCATCTAGTATAGGTGAAAAGTTGAAATTCTCACATTATTATTATTATTATTATTATTATTATTATTATTATTATTATTATTATTATTCAACAGCAACAACAACAATAACATTTAGTATGATCCACAGACCCATCAGTAAAAGAACAGTCATTTTAAATTATCCCATCTCAGGAGAAGTTCATTGTACATGGTTTCAAGTAATACCCCTATCAGAGGTTAGTTGTTTCTTCAGCCTTGTTGTCTCTATGAGGAATTTTGACACAATGAGAGTCACCCTGTTGCATTTGTCCTCTAAAAGGTTTAGGGCCGCAAGGTTCTCTCACGAGATAGCCAGTTATTTCTCTGTTGGGAATAGAAATGCTTCATAAAGTTGTTCAAAGTTTACAACAATTGCTTATGTTTTAATCTTTCTTTGCAGACATTGAGAAGCTTTGTACTTTTAGTCAACGATTCCCTCTCCCATCCATGTATCGGACCTTGGTATGGAAGGTACTTCTAGGTAAGCTGATCTGTGAAGATTGATATGGGCAGCTTTGGGGATATGGTAGTATTGTGGAACCTTAATAAGATCTTGGAAGAATCTTTGTTATCTTTCTTTCTGTTAACAAATATAGGACAGACAACAGTTATATAATTGGGAAAAGGACTGATTAAGTAAAAATCCCAGATGTAGATCACTGAAGAAATATGAGGAATGGCTAAGTAAGCTTAAAAACCAAGAAATAATGGGGAAAGGATTAATTGGGAAAATATATAATGGATTAATTGGTGAAGAAATAGGGCTGAAGCTGTTAGAAAAGGTATGGGAAGGAGACCTAGGGCCTCTGACAGATTTTGATTGGAAAGGGGTCCTAAAGTGGAGAGTGGTTAAGAACCTATCAATAAGATTAAAAGAAAATGTATACAAAGTTATATGGAGATGGTATACCACACCAGTCAAACAACATCAGATGGATAGCAAGCAAAGTAACCTCTGCCTGAGATGTAGTAAGCACAAAGGGACATATTTTCATTTATGGTGGGAATGCCCCCAAGTGAAGAGTTTTTGGAAGGATATATTTATCAAAATAAAGTTTATAGGATCAAATATTACTCCAGATGCTAGGTTAGCATTAATGGACACCACGATGTTGAATTTAGAAATGAGTAAGAAAGAATTAGTGATTATTTTGCTCACAGTGGGAAGAATCATAATAGCAAGGAACTGGAAAATAATAACTAATCTAACACTGGAAGCATGGTATAGGGAGGTATGGAATGTAGCTTTAAATGATAAACTAACAATGGAAATGAGGGTATTCAGGGGGGAAATTAACTGATCGGATTTTGAGACATACTGGTCAGTCTTTATTAAGTATGCTTTAGAGCAGGGGTCCTCAAACTTTTTAAACAGGGGGCCAGATTACTGTCCCCTACACCATAGGAGGGCCGGACTATAGTTTTTTTTAAAAAAAAACAATGACCAAATTCCTATGCACACTGCACGTGTCTTAATTTGCTACTGTTGTGAATCGTAATGTAAATATCTGATATGCATGATGTATTTTTTTTGTTACAATCTGAACATAAAGTGATTAATAAAAAAATAGGAAATAAATCTACATAAATAAAAATGTAATGTTCGTTTGTGGGATAAACAGAACTCAAAATCCACTGGACACCTAATAACCCAATGTATGTCCTTCACTCAAAAAAATATGATTTTGTCATTTGGGAGTTCTAGTTGCTGGGATTTATAGTTCACCTACAATCAAAGAGCATTCTGAACCCCACGAACGATGGAATTCAACCAAACTGGCACATAGTTCTCCCATGACCAACAGAAAATACTGAAGGGTTTGGTGGGCAGTGCCCTTTGGTTTTGGATTTGTAGTTCACCTACATCCAAAGATCACTGTGGACTCAAACAATGATGGATCTGGACCAAACTTGGAATGAATACTCAATATGCCCAAATGTGAACACTGGTGGAGTTTGGGGAAAATAGAATCTTGACATTGTGGAGTTGTAGTTGCTGGGATTTATAGTTCACCTACAATCAAAGGAGCATTCTGAACCCCACCAATGATAGAATTGGGCCAAACCTCCCACACAGAACAGCCATGTGGGCCACAGCAATGCATAGCAGGGGATGGCTAGTAAATAAATAAAATTTCATTTTAAAGTTTAAAAGGGGCAGCGTCTGGCTCGCACAAGGGGCAGTGCGAGGCAGGTAAGGGGAGAGGAGGGAAGGGATGGAAAAACAGGGATGGGAGGAACAGGGCGAGGGGAAGGCAAACTGGACTCTCCCACCGGCTTCTCACTCCATCACATTTGCAGGACGGCTTCCTTTTCACCCTTTCTTCTGTGTGTGTCTGTGCGTCTCTCTCTCTCTCTCCCCGCGCGCTCAGCTTTGGCGTCTTTTCCTTCCCGCCACGTAGAGCCCTCCTTTGAGCAGCTCCCCATTCTGATGGCGAGGAGGGTGTCTGCCATTAGCGGAGGCAGCGCCAGGTGGGCGTGGCCAGGCAAAGCCGGCTTTCCTGGCCCGAAGGCCCCACCCGGGAGGCTTCGAAGGAAGGAAGAAGGGAAGGAAGGGGGGAGGGAAGGGAGGGAAGGATGGAGGGGATGGGAGAAGGAAGGGGACAGAAAGGGGGAAGGGGAAGGAAGGAGGAAGAAGCCTGGCCCGGCGTGACCCTGCCTGAAGGGAGAGAGAGAGAAATGCAAGCGGTGGGGGGCTTTGCGCCAGGCCAGGCCAGGCCACGCGGGCCGGATAAATGCCCTCGGCGGGCCATATCTGGCCCGCGGGCCTTAGTTTGGGGACCCCTGTTTTAGAGAGTGAAAATGGAAAACAATATAACCTGTTGATCTGGAATTTTGGATATGACATTTGATTAATGGTTGATTTATAAATATATGGTGAAGGAAAGGATACTTGCTCAGGCCTTGGTGGTGGGGCTATGTGTTTGTAAAATGTTCACTGTTTTGTGTTTTGTTTACACTGTAAGTTGTTATTGTATGTAAATAAAATCTTAATCTAAAACAAAAAACAAAACAAAAAACCAAAAACAAATATAGGACAGGATCCTGCACTGTCAGGTGTAAGTATAAGTAAATAGATATATCCCCAAATCTACCTGATTAAGCAAGCAGAAACCAAAAAGAAGAGTTTCTGAGACACTGCAGATTGTAATGCTTGGAATGACATCTGCCACACTTTCAGAGTAATAGGTGCATTGAGAACAGATAGCTGGACAGATCTCTCAAGGTCCTGCTCCTGCTGCATGTGACTCCTGTATCAATGAGACCAGAACTCATGGTTTCATTTATTTGTGTCTGACATGTGTTCTCTAGCATTTTCTATGTCCTCCAACATAATTCTATGATACACTTCTGCTAAAATGTACCATTGAGTCACACTGGAGGACCCAGAGATACCCAGAGATATGTCCTTTCTAGATATTCCCTAGATCCTCTAGCACAATTCATTGGTGTGCTTCTGCCAGGTGCCCTTGATTCAGTCGGGTTTGCTATTACCCAGGATTTTGCTATCCATAGTAAGTCTGGGAATTTATCTTCTGCAGATGCAGTGACTGTACATTCAGTTTCTAAGCTCCATTAATAATCAGAGTCCTGATTACTATTGGAGCTAGAGAGCATATTGTATACTACCTTGAGTTGCCCACGGGCTGAGAAAGGTGGTATACAAATATAGTAAATAAATAAATAATGGATCCTGAAAATTGAATGTACAGTCCCTGCATCTGCAGAAGATACATTCCCAGACTTACTGTGGATAGCAACATCCTGGGTAATTTACACTTTAGAATTAATGCAGCTTGACACCAATTTGACTGCCATGGCCCAATTCTATGGAATCCTGAAATTTCTAGTTTGTTGAGGTACCTGCACTGTTGGACAAAGAAGGCCTAGGACCTTGTAAAGTTACAACTCCCATGATTCCATAGCATTGAGCCATGGCAGTTTAAGTGGTATCAAACTGCATTAATTCTACAGCATAGATGCACTTATCATTTATGTGTTTACATTTCAATAACGAGGAAGTAAATACTGATCATCTGTTGATATTCAGGGTGTCTTAGGGTGCATCTACACTGTAGAATTAATGTAATTTGACACAACCGCCATGACTCAGTGTTATGAAATAATTGGAGTAATAATTCTGCAAGATATTTAGCCTTTTCCCCCCAAAGAGCCATGGCAGTTAAAAGGACATCAGAATGCATTATTTCTACAGTGTAAGCCACCTTCAGTCTTATACTTTTTAATGTTAGTGTGTTTTATTTGGGTTATTGTATTTTATGAGGCTTTTGTTTTAATGTATGTTGTTTTATATATTGTTTTTGCTTTTATGTATTGTGGATATTCTGTCCCATGTGTAAGCCGCCCCGAGTCCCTTTGGGGAGATGGTGGTGGGATATAAAAATAAAGTTGTAGTAGTAGTAATAGTAGTAGTAGTTGTTGTTATTAGTCTATATACACCCTACATTTTTCATTTATTTCTTTTGTAGAAGTACTGTTCTTATAACCTTAGTGATGCTGAAGCCTAGGTGTCCTTATATATGTACCGGATTACTGTTCCAAGTTCACATTAAATGTATATACATTGAATTAAACTGTTTTCTTTGGCCCCCTGAAGTGTGAGGGTCTAGCTGACAGGGCCATACCTGATCTATGGGGTGTGGGAATAGCAGTGAAAGTGCTAAACTTTCATCAACACAGCAGGTAAATATTCATTCTTTTTTTCCCTTTTCTTTCACTTTTAAAGGGATTCTTCCTCCTCACCATGAATCTCATGCTTTTGTGATGAAATACCGACAGGAGCAGTATAGAGATGTGTACCATGCTCTCAGAGTAATTCGTTTCATCAATGATTCTACGCCGCAGGTGGAAGTTTTCCTCCGGATTTATCAGCTGGAGTCTGGAAAGCTGCCTCGAAATCCATCATTCCCTTTGGTCAGTCATATTTCCCTTTTCCATCTAAGATGTTGCTAAATTGTGAATGAAATAGATAATAGTGAAGAGGCAATCTGAAATGCAGTCCACTTTATGCTGTGAAATTCATTCTATCCTGAGATATGCAGTCGAGATGTGAGAGGGTAGGAAAGAAACAACTGTAACAGAGGCCTAGCACCAGGTACGGTTCAGAATGTATTTGCAAGGTGGTTTTCCCTTGAGCGTAGCTGAAAATATGGCAGAATTCTCCAGTCTGCCTCGCACAGACTACACTGTGTAACACAATTTTTGTTCCTGGATTATCAATGTCTTTTCCTAATTGGTTCTATCATAAAAACATGGAAAAAGTTTATTAAACTGCAAAAACTTTGTTCTTGTGGGACATCTTGCAGCACATTTTACTATAGTTTTTCAATGAGTATCTCATTGAGTCTCAACCAATTAAACATAGTTTGTGGCAGCCAAAAAAATAACATTTCTGGAGTATAACAACTACTTTCAAAGTAAGTACTGCACAATTAAACAGGAATAACATGTTGAAACCAGGAACATAAAAAAATCAAATTTTGTTACATATTGCTATTTCTGTAGCCCTAAATAGGTTTTTGATTAGGCAGAAGGGAGAGATCCTGAGAACTGAGATATCCTCAAGGGAATTGAGAACAAGCCAAAAGATTCTTCACACTTCGGAACTTTGGGACAATGTATTTGTGCAAAATACTGTATATACTCGAGTATAAGCCTAGTTTTTCAGACCTTTTTTGGGGCTGAAAAAGTCCCTCTTGGCTTATACTCGAGTCAAGGTTATTTATTATTTTACTCTGTTATAAATGTGTAATACATGTATTATTATTATTATTATTATTACATTTATTAATTTACTTTATTATTGCTATTATATTTATTATTTTACTCTATTTATTGTTGTTGTTATTATTACATTTATTATTTTACTCCATTTATTTTTATTGGAAGGGTATGCAAGTTTTATGTAAAAATTAGAGTTTTATGTAAATATTCAAAAACATTTAACCTCCTGGTGCCTCAATTAATATAATTTTATTGGTATCTATTTTTATTTTTACATGATGTTTGTCTGTTTTATAATGTATTGTTTTATGACCTGAAATATATGTCTTATTTGATTTGTAGTTTCCTTATCTCTATATATCTAAAGCAGTGGGAGGGGCTGCAGTCCACATAATCGACTCAGTGACAGTGTAGAATGTTCAGTTTTGAACATTAGGGAATGTCAGTTGAGCAATGACTGTTAGAGGAGAGTGTTGGGCCTTGAATAAGCTTGAGTATAGAAGTCTGTCAGAGTGCAGAAGTTAGAAACCGTTGAGGCTTGTGTTTTATTTGAAAGTAAACTCTTATTAAAGAGAGCCGTATAAAGCAACACAGTTTATGTGGAAACCGTTAAAGACCATACGTTCAAGATATGAACCCTCTGAAACGTTACTGAAGTTTTTGACAAGAAATGTGCCTTTCTCTTTAAATACATGAAGTAAATAAAACTTGTTATCATTAAAAGAAGTCTGCTTGCTTCATTGTCTGATGAAAGCATCAAACAGAATCAAAATATCAACATGAGCAGCGATCACCAATTACCAAATAAACTCTCTTATCCCGATTAGGTTGTGATCCTAACAGTTCGTGATCTGACCCAGATGGTCAGTTCTCCTAACAGGTCATGATCCTTACCCTTTACCCTTTAACCCTTTACGAACCACTGCGGAAATTAATATCTTCTGTGGAGGCCCTGTTCTCGGTCCCGCCATCATCACAACCATGTTTGGTGGGGATGAGAGACAGAGCCTTCTCGGTGATTGCCCCCCGGTTATGGAACTCCCTTCCTGGCAATATTAGATCAGCCCCCTTCCTCCTGTCCTTCAGAAGGATGGTGAAGACCTGGCTGTGGGACCAAGCCTTTGGGGCAGTACAATGAGGCAAAATGGTGTCCTGAGATGATTTTAAGTAACTTTTGATGTGGATATAGGTGATGTTAATGTTTTTATATATTTATGGTTTTTTGTCCTGGCATTGAAGGTTTGCCATATATATGTTGTGCTCCACCTTGAGTCCCCTGCGGGGTGAGAAGGGCAGAATACAAATGTTTTAAATAAATACATACATACATTTTATCCCCAATAAGTATAAAATGTTTCTTCCTTGTACTGTTTTAATTACTTTTATTTGTTCACAATCTTGGGAGCCCTTCTGGGATGGAAAGCAATATAGAAATACCTTAAACAAATACATATTACCTCCCAGCTGTTCATGCCATGCCTGCTTTGCTTTCCAGGAATCTGAAGAAAAGACGTTTCTGGCCATTGCTAAAGCCATGGAGGAAATGGTGGAAGATAGCATTGACTGCTATTGGCTTGTTAGTAGTTTTGTGAATCAGTTAAGCAATAAGTACAAGGATTCTTTGCCCCAGCTGGTAAGAAGACATTGATACAAAGCATTGCTATAGATATCTTTTCCCATACAGAAATGGAGTTAAGTGTGTGTTTTTCTAGCAATATTTTATCAGTTTGATACCAGTAAGTGCCATGGTTACAACTTGTGGGATCCTGGGATTTGTAATTTGGGGAAGTGAATAGAATTCCAGGTTAGAAAGAATGACCTATTAGCTACTCTAATTGTGTAAAATGTAAGGTAAAGTCCAAATTAATGTTACAGAGATTGCACTGTTTTGTGCATTTTCTTCTCAGATCGTGTGTTGAATTTTTATAGGCGCTGTTTAAGAAAACACAAATTGTCATCCTCTTTTTGCTTTTAATTGGCTTTACATCTCCCATTTCTTGGTGGGTGGGTTATGTCTGTCATGGAAATCTTGCAAAAGTCAGGATATAGGGAGAGAGAAAACAAAGTTGAACAGCTTTTGATGCTGGAAAGAGTTTAAAATCTCAGTTTTCTAAAAATATAATGCGGAATAAATAATGTGGGCACAATTCAGCACATGTTTACTTGGGAGTAAGGCCTAGTACAGCCAAGGCAACATTCGTCTGCAGATCTTCACTTGGGACATAACAAGACATTTCACTAATCCTACTTCTGGTCTCTTCTGGAGGGGAATTAGCCTGAGCCCTTCTTATAGCAACACCAGAGGCACTCCAAGTGGCCAGCTACTGGTCAAATGACATTTAATAGAATGCCAAGTTTGCAAACTTTGTGTGTGTGTTTTTTAAATACAATACAACTGTTTGTTCTCTCCTGACACAATAAATAAATAAATACTAATCCCCCTGCTTTCCACCAGGCACAGAATAGCAGGCATAACGTGAGTGATCAAATTTCACTAATAGGATGACAGCCTTTTGATAAAAGTTTCAGTGCGTTTTTAAAAAATGCCTTTTCCTTTGTTGTTCTGTTTCCAAAATTAAGTAACCTTGAGTTCAATGAGTGACTAAAACATGCGTGTGTGCATGCATGATAGCACAGCCAATTAATATTGAAAATTTTTGCAATCCTCACATTTGAATCTGACCTTTAAAGAACTTGATCTAACTTGACATGTTTTCTACATGTGTCACACTAAATTTATTGAGGAATGTGCACTTTAGGTTGTTTTCTTGCTATAGATGAGCATGAGCATTACTTACTCATTTTGGTGTACTGGAACACTCCCCTCATATTTATTTTCCAGCCAAAACTTCTGGAACAGTACCTGAACCTTGAGGATAGCAGACTCCTAATACACCTGAAATCGTGTTCAGCAATGGGCCAGCTGCCTTACAATCTTTGGTTTAGAAGATGTTTTGCTGGTTGTCTACCTGAATCTAGTTTGCAGAGGCAAGTGCCTGTGACCTCTTCTCTTCTTAAACTTGGCTGAATCCCCTTGGAAAGCAGCAGAGATCATTCATTCTGTTCATGGATCACAGCTTTAAACAGCCTGACAAAGCTACAAAGCTGTAGGTCTTCCATCTCACCCTGAAAGTTCAGAGACTATTACAGCCAGTCCCTGAGTTACAGACAAGGATAGGTTCCGTAGTTTTGTTCTTAAATTGAATTTGTGTGTAAGTCAAAACAGGTACATTTTAAAGTGTAACTCCAACCACACACACATCTATTAATCAATCAATCTATCTATCTGGCAGTTTTGGATAGCATAAAGAAGGGTTAACATAACACCCCTGTGGTGTTTGTTTTGCTCTCTATGCCCATTTAGAAGATGTCACCTCACTTTCTGTCCTGTGAGAATTGGATTTTGAAAAAAAATGTAATAAAGCTTCAGTGGAGACACCTTTTTCTCATGATAATAACTCTTTCAGGAGTGTATTTCCCTTCTGATTGGTAGATTTCTCTCATTTTCTGTTGTTTGACCCCCATTCTTAACTATGAGTCATTTGTAAGTTGGATGTTTGCAGCTTGGGGACTGTCTGTATAGGGAGAATTCTCATGAAAGCATATTATCTATAAGACTCCTTTTATATGCTATTTGTAACATGGCAATTACTTAAAATGTGTATGGAGTTTATCTTAAACCTCATCTACACTGTTAGATAAAATCCAGATTATCTGCTTGGATTTTATTAGTCTTCACTGCCATTTAGGGATATAGTTTTGGGCCAAAACAGGAAAACACTTTGGTCAATAGAAATTATAGAGGTATAAAAATGTAGAGCATGTGTTCGTCTGACTTTGTGATTTACTTTTCTAGGGTTTGGGATAAAGTTATTAGTGGCTCTTGCAAAATACTTGTCTTCGTTGCCATAGAGATTTTATTAACCTTCAAAATGAAGTTGATGGCCCTGAATAGTGCCGAAAAGATTGAAATGTTTTTGGAAAATGTAAGTACTTTTCAAAATACTCCAGTAATCGTTTTAAAAAAGGCACCATGGTTTGTTTATGTCAACCAGATGTTTGAAGAGCGGTGTGGCTAAAGAGAATGATGACTGTGCTGTTGCCCAGTTGTACCATGCTCCAGAAAAGGATAGCCTGGGATAACTGCAGCTACAGTTTCACAGTGGTTTGTGAATCGAAACATGACCGTGTGAATCACAGTTTGGACAAACTGTTCTTTGCAAAGCAATTTCTATATCTTGATCCAGTACCTTGGTTTAATTTGCAAGTTGACATAGACTCAGAACCTAGGAAAAAGTATTGTTTCTTGATCAATGGCTCCACGTGGTCTACCGAAGGCGTGTTTTCCATAATAGTTTTCTGGAGGATGGTTAAAACCTCCTTTCTAGAAAGACTTGTGAGCAAACATAGAAAACTTTGTTTTTTAGGCCTGGTTATAGGATTGGGGAATTTTTATAATCATGCTCCAAAAATGTAACCTCCAAGTCCTGCTTTTTTGCTAGATATTAACTAACTTTTTAAAGAAAGTGCTTCTCATTGCTGCCTTTAATCTCTAAAATGTTTGCTTGTGTTTTTATATTTTTGGGGCTGTGTTGATTGAAGTTATTGTAATTGTATTGTTTAAAATTGCTTTTTAATTTTTACCATTATATACAATTAAATGCTTGGAGTTCCCTGTGGGAAAAAACAGAGCACAATTGATTTAAATAACAAAATACACCTAGTGTGTTCCTTTAAATGGTTGAGAACTATTACTGTATTCAGGTTGTGTCATTCTGTGTTAGCCCAGATAACATCACGGGCCACACAATCAACACATATAACTTTGTGAACATTACTTAGTCACTGTAAATCAGTTGTGGATGTTTTATGTTCAGATTTTATGTCATTATAACATTCTTCTTTGATTATGTTTTGTTTTAATTTATTGATGTTAGGTTCTAATGTTGTCTTCATATGTGTGCATATTCAGAATGATTAAGTTGGCATTTGTTTGTTTTACCAAGGCATTGAATGTTTGTCTTTTTCTATGTCAGAATCCACTTTGAGTCCACCCAGGGAGATAGGACAGAATATAACTAAAGTTCTATTATTATTATTATTATTATTATTATTATTATTATTATTATTCCTGTAACAAACTAATATGGCAACTTTTTTGAATTTTAAAGGGCTAAATGGCTAGGCTGATTTATCAAAGAAACTATGTATTTTAATTTTTTAAAAAAACTTTTCTTAATCTCCCATAGATACCTCAAGACAACACTGATGCGATTGTGAGCAAAGCTATTGAGCTGTGGCACAAACATTGCGGAACTCCTGCACATTCTGTCTGAGATAAACTTTTCAACTGGCATTTTAGGTTACTACTGGACTTTTAATTTTTTTAAATTATATTTTGGTGCATCTCCCTCTCCCCCTGAATTATCTAATTAAAAGTATTTAATCACTGGGAACATGTTGGTAGTTATTCCAATTTGTTTTTCCTTTTTGGGGAAGGATTTGATGTGTGTGTATGTTAGTCTTAATACAGCTAAACAACTCTAGTCCCTTATAGTAATTGATAGAAAATATTTTGATCTCACTACCTCTGAGGATGCCTGCCATAGATGCAGGAAAAACATCAGGAGAGAATACTTCTAGAACATGGTCATACAGCCCGAAAAACCTACAGTGACCCATTTTGAGGTTTGTTTCATTATTTAGTGCATGGGTAGGCAAAATGCGGCCTGCATGTCACAAGCATCCCCTAGATCAGTGGTTCCCACCTGTGGTCCGTGGACCACCAGTGGTCCACAAGAACTAAAATATGGTCTGTGGCCTCACCGTTACTATACTGTTGCAACAAGAGCAATTAATTATTTTTAAAATTATTTTGAATACTCTGAATTTCTAAAATAAAACAAATCAACCTTCCTTCCTTCTTCTTTCTGCTCACCCTGCTTAACAATTTCAGTGCGAAAAGTGTTTTAAAGTATGTAATATTTCTAATTCTTTTTTCTATTATGGTCCATATCTTGTAAAGGTTTATGGCTACATACAATAAAATCTTTGGCTCACTGGAAAATTTGCAATTCTACTTATGCCTATTTCAGGGCTTGTCGTGTTTGATCTCATTGAAGCCACATCTGTTTTCTCTTTTCTTCCCTTCTATGAAATGTATCCTGGTTCATCATAATTCTGTCCCCTTTCTTTCATCTTTTGTTCATGTTTGAATGATTCGCTTCTCCATCCAGTGGACCTCCTGGTCTTTCCCTTGATTTTGATGTCAGCACTAGAGCTTCTGTACAATGCAATACTGTGCCCTTTTGATGCTTTGGTCATTGGCTATGCATAATAATGAATAGTTTGGAGGATATCAGTTTACCTTACTCAGATGCTATGTTACAGAGTATGCAGTCTTTTATTGAGTTATTCCCAAGTACCGTATATATTCATGTATAAGCCGGGTTTTTCAGACCTTATTTTAGGCTGAAAAAGCCCCCCTTGGCTTATACTCGAGGCAAAGTTTTTTTTTTGCTCTTTTATTACTATTCTTCTTATTACATTTATTATTTTATTCTATTTATTATTATTTTTATTACATTTACATTATTTTACTCTATTATTATTTTTTATTACATTTATTATTTTCCCTCTATTTATTATTAGTTATTACATTTCCTATTTTACTCTTATTATTACATTTATTATTTTATTACATTATTATTATTAGTTATTATTTTATTACATTATTATTAATACATTTATTGTTTTACTCTATTTATTATTGTTATTACATTTATTATTTTACTCTGTTATTATTACAGTTATTATTTTACTCTGTTCTTACATTCTACTCTATTATTATTATTATTATTATTATTATTATTAAAGTCTATTGTTATTATTATTTCATTTATTATTTTACACATTTACATTGAAGAATGTTGGAATAATAGTTTTATCAGAATTGGACAGTCTTATCTTAAATTACAGCTTTATGTAAATATTTTAAAACTTTTAACCTACTGATGCCTCAATTAATGTAATTTTTGGTATCTATTTTTATTTTGAAATTTATCAGTAGCTGTTGCATTTCCCACAGTCGGCTTATACTCGAGTCAATACGTTTTCCCAGTTTTTGGTGGTAAAATTAGATGGCTTGGCTTATATTCAGGTCGGTTTATACTTGAATATATATGGTAACTGATTCTGATGTTTAACTAGTTTAAGTGTGCTAGAGCGATGGTGGTGCAGAATGCAGTAAAACCTCTGTAACTGTTGAGGATATGTCCCAAGGCCCAGAACTGCGGAAAATAGTGAACATTATATTTTTACTATAATTGGGCTGGGTGTATGCCATAGAATATTACTGCAGAGTCTAAAGAGGCTGGGGAGAATATTTTTTAGGATAATGAGTAAATGAAACTGGATATTGAGTGCATGGAGAAGGGGGGGGGACACTGTGCTTAGGGCGCAAATGATGGGCACTTGTTTTAATTTGGGATATCATTGGGCTGCATCAAGGTGGAGATAATTGCATGTCACAATAACCACTTGGGGCCAAAAAGTTACCATTGCGCAGTGGATGTGTGCTGTTGATAGCAGTAGAAGCAGAGTAGAACAGAGAATGTTCCTCTGTGTCTTGTGTATGTGTGTGTGTTGCAGTTGTGCATTACAGTTGCATATTGTGCATTGCAGATGTAGATCGTGTCTTGCACACTGTTCACTGGCGAATCTAGTCATTGGCACATAGTATAGTATATCTTTGCATGTAGATATTTATGCTACTCTGAGGAGATGCTGGACTGCAGCCGAAGAGGTGTAATGTACACAGCTTTTCCATCCAATCTGCTTGAAATGCTGATTGCTTTGTGATTAAGGCAGTATCAAGTGTGTGGTCAATTGATGCCTTCCTGGGAATGAATCAATATCTTGTGCTCTTTCCAACTGTGTAGGGTTTTTATCTTCCTCCATCAGCAGTGTTGATTAGTTCACAAGCGCTCAGGGTCACAGGCATGAAAAACTATTTAAAAACGAAGTGTCAGACTATTTTTTTTTTAAGGAAGAGAACCTTTCTCATCGGGCATTCAGTTATTAACTTGAAATAGCTGCAGTGAGATAAGCTAGCCACACTGAACTGCTTGGAGGAACAATAGCAAGGAAATGGTGATGGAAGCGGTCTGGCTGCCCAGAAGTCAGTCAAATGCCTCTATGTAAATGTCAGCAGCAAGTACATTTCTCATCACCCAGTTGTTTATGCAAAAAGTGAGGAGGAAAATTCTTCTTCATTCATTCTACAGCATGCTTTTTATCTGTAACCGTGAAATGCTGTAGAAGAACATCTTAGCAGCAGCATAGCTCACCTCAAGAAGATTTTGGCTGGAAGCTCAATGAGTTATCTAAAGCAATAGTTTAACATAGTAGTTCTCACCTTATGGGTCCCCAGATGTTTTGGCCTCCCAACTCCCAGAAATCCTAAAAGCTGGGATTTCTGGGAGTTGTAGGCCAAAACACCTGAGGACCCACAGGTTGAGAACCACTGGTTTTGCAGGACAGTAGATGCTTGGTTTGGTTCCAGGAATCCTGCCCCCTTTACATTCGATAAAAAAATTGTGGGTGCTTATGTCCCAATATACTATGTAAAACAATATTTTTTCCTGGGTTATAAATGTCATTTCATAATTGATTCTATCATAAAAACATGGGGAAAGTTTATTAAACTGCAAAAACTGTTTTTTCAGGACCTCCTACAGCACATTTTGCTATAGTTTTTCAATGAGTATCTCATAGAGTCTCAACCAATTCAACATAGTTTGTGGCAGCCATAAAAACAAAGTTTCTGGAATATAACAAATACTTTCAAAGTAAGTACCACACAATCATTGTAAAGACGTCTTGTGCCCCCTTCGGGGTGAGAAGGGTGGGGTACAAGTGTGGTAAATAAATAAAATGGCCGGAATCACTGGGTTGTTGTAGGTTTTTTGGGTTGTATGGGCATGTTCTAGAAGCATTATCTCCTGATGCTTTGCCTGCATCTGTGGCAACACCTAAAAACTGTCAGGCCATCAAATTCTAATCAAGGTGGCCAATGGAAACATTCACACCTAGCTCCAACATACAAGAGTTCTTTGTCCCACCCTGGACCTTCCACAGATATATAAATAGAATTTTCCACTTTCCAACAAACCTCACAACCTCTGAGGATGCTTGCCACAGATGCAGGTGAAACGTCAGGAGAGAATGCTTCTAGAATATGGCCATATGTGTGTGTGTGTGTGTGTGTGTGTAAATATTTCAAGCCATGAATGATTGAATCCATAGAAGCAAATTCTGTGAATCTAGATCTGGAGCACCAGCTTTGAAATTTTCTAAATGAGCACAGCACTAAATTGAAACCAGATGAGTGATTTCTCAGGGATGGAAGAAAATGAAAGCAGCTGAGAGATATGTAGGAAGGAATTTGACAGATTTTATTTCTTCTCCTCTTGTCCTCAAAAATGATTTTGGAATGCTGTTGCCTCAAACTAGAAGAGACAGCTTCTGCTTCCGTCAAGTTTCCGAGCTCCATTCAAGGTGCAGTTGATTATATCATCTGACCAACATTTTGTTTCCTTCAAGAACCAAAAATATGCTGTCAGGAAACCTGTAAGTAGGATATGAAGCAAGCATTTGTGATGGTGCTGGACTTAATTCCATTATTGTGATATAAAGACCAAAGGTGTACTTACAGTGAGCAATGGTTCTGTAAGGCTGAAAAGATCTCAATCTCCTAAATACATTAAGTAGCATAAAGCATAATTAAAAGGCATGAATGGAAGCTCCCCAGATCCTAGATCAGTGTCAGACAGCTGTGATGGACTGGATGAGGGTCAACAAACGTAGACTTAATCCAGACAAGAACGAGGTCCTCCTGGTCAGTCGTGAGGCCGATCGGGATGTAGGGTGGCAACCGGTGCTTGATGGAGTTACACTCCTTCTGAGGACACAGGTCCACAGCCTGGGTGTTCACCTGGACTCATCGCTGATGCTTGAGGCTCAGGTGATGGCAGTTGCTGGGAGGGCCTTCACACAGTTAAAACTTGTGTGCTAGCTGTGACCATACCTCAAAAAGCCTGATGGCCATGGTGGTCCACTCCTTAGTTACATTTGGAATGGACTACTGTAATGCACTCTATGTGGAGCTGCCCTTGAAGACGGTTTGGAAACTGAAGTTAATGCAAAGGTTGGCTGCCAGATTACTAACTGGAGCTAGCTATAGGGAATATGCCACGCCCCTACTGAGGCAGCTCCACTGGCTTCTGACAAGTTTCCAAGCTCAATTAAAAGTGCAGGTTATTACCTATAAAGCCCTATAGGCTTCGGGTCCAACCTATCTTTGAGATCACATCTCTTTCTATGAACTGATGTGGGCTTTGAGATCAGCAGGGGAGGCCTTTCTCTTGGTTCCACCATTGTCTCAAGCACGGTTGGT